CAGTCATGAAGAGCTTTTATTCAATGCACATGTGTAGTTTATTTTCACTTACATGTGCCTTTTATCACTTTTTGCGATTATTTACTGACTGTCAGGAGGGATAAGCATAGTTTTCATCGATTTTTATAAATGTTTTAAAGCGGGGAGGGGGGATGAAAGTCAAGGGTGAGTCGTGCCTCCCTTTGCAGGGGGGGGAGGGAGGTGAGAGTCGAGGGTGAAAGCCACCTAAAACCTGTTTGAGGTCTTTCAGGGCTATGATCTTGACAACATACGTCAAAGTCGCGGTCATCGGCGCGGCGTCCCCTATAGTGCACAACTATCAAACATATTTTAAAACAGGGAATTTTCGTGTTATATAGTTGAACTTCTTTTGTTAATAACCTTTTAAGGAATAACGAGCGACGGCTAAAACTTGTTGGAGATCACTCAGGGTCATGACCTTGACAACATATGTCAAGGTCAAGGTTATTGAGGAGGCATTATTTATGGTCCTTTAAGTAATTTTCCCCTGAAAAAAAATTTGTTCAAATTCTGTGCATTTTCGCTCTACGGAAAAAGATACATAATCAATACCCTGGATGCTCCTCGAGTGTCATGTCATCCTCGTTTACCGTTCAGTAAACAACAAAGATGACATAACATCTGGGAGCACCCAGGAACCTCCATCCAAACATGTCCCAAGGTCACACTAACATTGCTATCAATGCAACACTTAGAATCCTATATCTTTTGTCTGAAAAATTTTTCAAGAAAATGTACATTTTTTGAAAAACTAGCCTGATATGGTTGCTCTTATACCTTGTATGACTGTATTAATATATTCTTGCAGAATAAATCTGTGCATTTACCAAAAATTCTAAATGTTTCTTCTTCTTGCAAAATCGGTAAATTTCTCCTTCCAGTTTTTTCTATGACTTTAATATTAACAATGGATTTTTCTGGTAGCGATGCTCCAAACATTAACTCCGAAATTCTTGCAAGAGGAAAATCTAAAAAATATTTGTGGCATTAATATACAAAATTGTCACAATAATATATAGGATGTTTAGCGTAACGGTCCGCACGATTTTTCAGACATTTCCGATAGTTAAAAAAAAGATTGAAGGGTGAGTATTCATCTGTTTTATATAGGCTACATACGATAATAAAATTTAAAAAAATTTTTTTTCAAACAAATGGAACAACTGCGTAAATATACATAAATACGAAATAAAACGTCAATGAGTCAAAGTTAGATGTCAACATAATACGATATACAGGGTGTCTCTTAAGTAAGGTCCGGACCGCATTGGGAGTGTAAAATGGGTCAAGGGGAAACAATGAAAGTCTTATACTATTTTGAAATATTCGCTGTAAAAATTTAAGCTAAAATAACATTCTTGGATAGTGTTGATAGGCGCGATGCGGCGAAACACACAGGACCGTCATGCCAGGCAGCGAAGTGCTATTCCCTCGCTGCCCATCGTTGTCGAGTGAGGCACGATAGGCCGTGCTACGAATTCACGTGGCGTGGTTTCACCGTTTTCTTGGCTTATACGTTTTCTTTATTAATTCGAAAACTACAGCAAATATCTCAAAATGGTATAAAACTTTTTTGTTCCCCTTGACCCATTGGGGGTATTACGCCCCCAATGCAGCTTGGACCTTACTTAAGAGACACCCTGCATATTCTTTAAAACAATTTTTTTTCATAAGGAAATCAAAGTTATCTTAAATTTTTGAATAGCTATACAATTTGTTTTCTGTAGTATTGTAGGAATCTTCAAGACAAATTCAAATCACTGTCGAAATGTCACTTTTATTGACGTTTTATTGATTTTATTGATACTTAATGTCAAATTTGTAACATTATTTGTAACAGCAGTACATACAACCTCTGACTAGAACACAGAACATACCTACATACATACATGTACTTATTTAATAAAATATGCAATAAAATCAATGAAACATCAATAAAAGTGACATTTCGGTAGTGATTTGAATTTATCTTCAAGATCCCTACAATTCTATGGAAAAAAATTGTATGGTGTTATTCAAAAAGTTTAAGATGACTTTGATTTTTTTTATAAAAAAGAAACTTTTTAAAATTTTTTTATCGCAAGTTGTAGCCTGTATAAAACAAATGAATATTCACTTTTTAACTGTCAGAGGTATCTGAGAAATCGTGCAGACTGTTTTAAATAATTTTCTAGTATACTTACAAATATTATATGTCTTAAGTTGATAATCATTCTTCTTGTAAATATTAGCTTGTACACATACTTCTTTCATTTTTAGATTCCTATTCGTGATCCTATTAAATATATATTAGTTATAGATACTTTGAATGTTAAGTTCATAAAAGCATCAAATAATTTGGATTGTTTTTTATCTCACCGATTTATTGGAATAACATATTTGCACTTATCAATAGAAGAGTTTGTGTACAACATTTGTGGTTCTCTTAGTTTAATATTTCCAGATTCTAACAGTTTATAACGTTCTTGAAGATTTCCTATTTCCAGATTCTATACATTAATAGATAAGGTAATTATTTAGGATCTTATCCTCATCTTTGATTTTGATAAAATTAAGCATTCGACATGTTTTTGCACGAAACGAAAAAATCTGTAAGAAAAAACATTGGGTCGGTCCCGCAAACCGAGATATTAAGCGTTAAAGTTGACGAATATTTAGATTAGAAAATCTGTCATATCAACAAGATGTAGCTTAAAAGAAAAAATAATAGTAAAGGGTAAAAAAGCAGTTCTTTAGAATACAATTCTCTGCTTTAAAAACATAAAAGTTATATAAGAAAATAATTTGTTTTTAAAGTACAGATTTTGTGTTTGTAAAGCAGAGAATATGATTGTGAATCACAATCACTTACTCACAATCACTGCACTCACAAGCACTTCTCTGCTCTACAAACACAAAATCTATACTTTAAAAACACAAATTATTTTCGTATATAATTTTCGTTTAAAAGCAGAAAATTGTATTCCAAAGAATGCTATTTTACTCTTTACTGTTATTTTTCCTTTTAAGTATACTGCGTATTTCGATAGGAAAGATTTCTTAACCTAAATAGTCGTCAATTTTAATGTTCAATATTTCGGTTTACGGGGCCGATCCAACGTTTTTTCTTACAGATTCTTTTGTTTCGTGCAAAAACACCTCGAATGAGCCTAATTTTATAAAAATCAGAGGTAAGGACAGGATTCTAAATAATTACTGTAGATAATGTTATCATTTATTTTTACGATACCAAATAAAAGAATGTACTCACTTGTAATTCTAATTGTGTTTTTAGTTGTTCTTTTTCTTTATAAATTTTGTTAATCTCAGATCTATGACGATTGGCTTGTTCTTCAATTAAACGCATCTTTTCTAATTTCTCATTTTCAACTCGTAACTGAGTTTGTTGTAGTTGTTGCCGCAAAAATGCAGTTTCACCATCTTTAGTTATAAAATCATTCAACAATTTTTTGTTTTCAGTTTTTAATTTATCCAATTCTTTACCATCTATAAATATATGTAAAAGATATTATGAATAAAGATATTTTATAATTATTAGTATTCCTATACTGGTATTACCATGTACAATAATTTTATTGCCCTTTTGGAAAGTTGAATTATGATCTTTTTTATCTATTAATTTATTTCTGAACTGCGAATAATTAATTTCTGTCATATTCTGATGATTTTGACTCGTATTCTGTATATTCTTTGTTAACAAGTGTGAGTTAGACTTTTCTATAGCTTGTGATAATTTAGAACATGATGTTTCATCATAGGCAGTTGTTCTCTCTGGAAAATCTGATTTCACTGAATTCAAATCATGTAGTCTTAAATTATTTAACAAGTTAGCCTCCTTAAAAGTAAAAATTCAGATTATAAATAAATTTCATGGCACATTTCAAAACTAAACTTACATCAAAATAGCATTACCTGTACACAAGCTTGAGATGCGATCAAATCCATTTCCTCAATATCTTCTTCATTAAAATCATCACCCCAAAGATCATCATTCTGAGCGTTTCTATTCGTAGAAATTTCTTCTTGTGTTTTACGATACTTCAAATTCTTATTAGGAATATCAAATTTTGCCCGTTTCGCAGGCATACGATAATCATCCATTATTGTTGCCTCGGAGCATTTAAACGTGTGATATTCGTGATACAAGTTACAAGTTAGCCTTCTTCTTCTTCTTCCGGCAGCGTTGCCAACCCTTTGTTCTAACTTCACCCCAGATTAAATTTGAAATCCCCCTAAACCTTAAGTCTGTTCGCGTTGCATGAAATCCTCAAATATTTTTGCACTTAAAATGAGATATATATATATATATATATATGGCCTTGAAAAGAGAGAAAGCGAAGCTGTCGAGTGCCAAAAGTGTAAGCAACGATGTCTTGTGTGCCTTCCAAAAGACATAAAAGATTTGTTCGTGTCGCAAGCTCCAACATGCTCCAATATGCTTCTACTATAGCTCCTACTCACTCAATAATGGCTGCGTTCAGCAGACTCAACAGTTTTGCAACCGTTTTATGATTGTCTGCTGAGATAGGACCATTCTTCTAGATCTAAAAGTATGATCCAATTAGCGCGAAGGAAACTTACAACAGTTGCAAAACGTTCTGCTGAACGCACCCATTGGGTGCATTCAGTGGGTGCATTCAGTACCATAATCGCTCACTGAGCGCTCAGTGAGCGCTTGCATCTTATTGGTATATTCCGTTAGAACTAAAAATATAGACCAGATACAAGAGCTCACTGAGCGCTCAGTACAACGCGCGCACTTCGGAAAACGCACGGAAAGGGACACATTAGCAGTATATGAATATAGAATAATAAGAAAAACAATAAATAACTGATTTTTTTTATTTGTTCCGCCTTTCTTTCTTCTTTATCTAATTTAGAAATGCATGAAGTATATCAAGCCGATAAGTCAGGGCTACTGCACGACCCTGCGAATCATTGACGGGCAGTGTATGATCGGCCACTGCTTCTAGGTTACCAACACTGGACGGCAGTGCAGTTGCATAGTTGCACTCAGTTTGACTCAGTTGCACCGGTTGCAGTTGTCGATGGACGTGAAAGACGTAGGACGTGGTATATGGGATTGGCTCGATTCGTCTCGGTCCGTTTCGGCTTCCGCCTCCGTTATATGACGATACCAATATCATCAGTGATTCAGCAGCGGCGTCACACGCTTAATATCTGGCGTAAAATCACGTAAAAAAATCGAGAGAGAACGTGCTACATCGAACTCGGCAGTCGGCGAGTCGGCGCACCCTTTGCTTCGCGTTCGCGTCGCGTGCGAGCAAAAAAGCCGTGAGTGGGTGTGGGAGGGAGGGAGGGAGAACGAAACGCGATGGAGGCGCGACGCTGTCCGGTTTGACCGCTAGACGGCTTCCTCCGGCGCGGCGTATTCTCGTTCTCCTCGATTCGACAGACTGTCGGACTCGCTCCTTTGATTCTCAGTAATCTCGGTGTGTTTCGCGCGCGCCATGTGCTGTACCGTTACCGCTCCGCGTGCGTCTCTACCCTGCAAAATTGTCGTCGCGCGTATCGCCGCGGTTCGATAAGCGTTCGCGTAGCCGTCGCGCGTAGTCTGTTACTCCGTTCGGCCAGGATCCCTCTCTCCTCCTCGTCCTCCTCCTCCTTTTCCTTTCCTCCCCTCTCCTTCCCTTTCCCTGAGTTATGCGCTGCTCTCGTCGGTGCTCTCGATGCTCCTCCATGCTCCTCGTGTCTCCGTAGTGCTGGTGTAAACGACGTAAAGCTGCGTTATTTCTTCGTTCTTTCCTTTCCCCGCCCTTGTATGTTCGTCTGGTTCGTAAGCGGCGAGCCGTAAGGAGAGGTAACGCAAAGGGAAAAGAGAGAGAAAGAGAAAGATAGTAATAAGCAGTCGCAGGAAAAGGGAACATAAAAACGACAAGTGTATCGTGGTATCGTTGAAACGGTGTTCTCGGAGTGAAGTGAGCTCCAACGAGCGAAAGAAACAACGAGAGGTAGCGCAAGTGGCGTATCAAGATGGCGCATAATTTGGCACCGAGCGTCAACTGCTCGCTCGACGACATTGACCTGAACGCTCTGAAGGTACGTATACGTTGTAGATACGAAAATGATTCGCCGCCGATCGCGTGCGTTTCTCCTTTTCTCCTCTCGTCCGCTCTCGTCGCCCATTTCTCCGGACCCACCTGGTTAATCATGAATCAACCGCTCACACGCGTTGATTAACCTCGCGAGAACCGACGAGGACGAGAAGGAGGAGAAGGAGGAGGAGGAGAAGGAGGAGAAGGAAGAGGAAGAGGAGGAGGAGGAGGAGGAGGAGGGACTGACGACTGACATTACTCGCACTTGAATCCTTCCTTCTCACTTTTTTCCATCGTTGTGAGTTTCGCGTAATATCGAACGAAAAAAGTCCAACGATTCGATGCATTCACACACTGTCGTTGACAGTCGATTTTTCCAGTCCTGAAGACAATGTATTATGCGCGATTGATGGTCGCGAATCATATGGTTTCTACCGTAGACTTTTGCGCGAAAAGAATCGAAATGGGTCGAAAACTAACATTATTCACCGATTGTATTTTTACTCTGGCAACACTGTTGACAATCCGATAGACGGGACAGACGTCACACGAGATTGAATCTCGCTGCGAGCGCAGACTTTTTACGTCTCTCCGTCCCATCATTTCTGGGGGGGAAAAAAAAAGTCAAATAGGTACAGTACAAGGGAAATAATCGATCCGAAGGTGTCATCTTTGAGAATGCACGAGCAAAGAGTTAGGACAATTGTAACGCGTCAGATAAAAAAAACAAGCGAAAAAAGATAGAAAGAAAGTTTACACTGAAAATGCATCGATTATTTTCCTTGAGTTTACATCAAAATGACTGAAATACCTTCGTTTACCGCTCGCGATTTGCTGCGCTCTGTTTCTCGTATTTTTCGACGAAAGATCTGTGCGCTCTAACGTCACGATCAGCTTTTAAGATAGCTGACCATCGTATATTTTGCTGTCGGATTTTATTATGTCAGATACTTGGTCTTCGCGTCAGATTTCTGCGTGCATATAATGAGAGTGTCCAAGTCCATCCAGCAATAACTATTTTTTTCTTCTTGCGGTACTTTAACTGAGTGTATCAACTAGAATTACACAAGTAAGCTGAAGATGGCTTGAAGATGGCCGACCGTTAAAGTTGCATTAATAATACACGTATTGTTTTAATACCGTATTTGCTCTTTTATAAATGTCCTTTTTGGTTTAAATCTTAAGAGAGGCCGTTGAATTAATATTTTATTGTTGTCGTAACTATTTTTATTTGAGGCCCATAACGAATCGTGTTACGTTATTAAAAAATAAACGGCGTAGTCCACGCAAGAATAAAAATTGCTCCTTGCAGCTGCACTCTTTCTTTAACATCCAAGTTTTGTTTTTTTATTCCTGCACTAGACTGTATTAGAACTCTTTCTCGCTTTCGCCAAATATCAAATATGTATACCTATCTAACTTTAAGTTCCGAAAGTGTATATACCTACATATATAGTTGAACCACAGAAAACAGACCTCTAATTAATTTCATTCCAAGTGTAGAAAGGATAACAAAACACAAGGCTAGTTTAACCGGAATCTGCTCGCACCGACGTTTTCTATTTATACTTATTTAATATCGATCCGTGGGTTCTGTCCTTCGACTAAGAGCTCAAAATGCGTTCTTTATTTTCTTCATATCGCCTGCACAAATAATCTTTTTGTCTCTTCCTTTTACTATCTCTTCCTTTTTACTCCGACTTTATTTCATTTTTACTCATTCTATTTCGAGGAGTTGAGCAAGTTTTCACTTGCTCTTTTGTGGACAATAATCGGAGGAGAAATTTTCATCAGATCGACGATGTTCCTTTTTAATGACAAAAAGGAGCGTTTTACATCTCGAGGATTAATTAATCGGTCGTTTGTGTTTCAGGAACCTGCTGGGATCTTTGAGTTGATAGAAGTCGTCGGCAATGGAACATATGGCCAAGTTTACAAAGTGAGTATTTCGTTCTGCAATTTGCAACAAATTCTATGTTACAGCAGGAAAGCTGTGTGTGATACTTTTAATATTACTTCTCATATGTTTAGTCGTACACAACTATTCCTTCTTTGCAATATATATAAATTCTTTGCAATGTATTATTAAATTATTATTACAATTCTCTATCAATTCGTAATATTACGTTTCTAGCTTTAATATTTAGATTTGTATTTTAAGATCAACAAATAACAATATTGTATTACAACTTTGTAAGGCTTTCGTTTCTCAACATTTCAATGATAATTGTTATGTACATTATGTTATGTTCTTACTTGTTGAAAAAAAACATGAGGTTAAGTTTCATCATCAGCCAGTTTTTGAGAATTCGAGAAGAATTTATTTTTGAAAAAAACTATAAATTTAATCCATTTACCTTTTTCTTTTACTTTATAAGTAAATACATATATAATATAATAAGAACTAAATACAATAAGAACTAAACAGAAACCTTGTAAATTAGTGTAATTTATAGCTATAATATATGTTACATATATATTACATATAATACAAACTTACATAAGAAATTCAAAGCAAAGTTTCTGAAAATTAAAGAGTGATAGAAATTTTTTGAAAACATCCTTTTTTTAGTGTAAAAAACACTATATTCGTTACTTGTTGAGAAACAGAAAGTTAATCAAAATTTATTGCACGCGGTGTAATTGGCGGACAATTCGCATGAATTGGAAAATGTATATAAATTTACGCCAAAAATATTATTAAGTATCAAGATCCACTTTGACTGAATAATAAGGCTCGTCTTGCTGAACTGTGTTAATGTTATTTTTTCTTTTTTTATTGGAACGTGTAACGTTTACTGTCTTGAGTGCTCGATTCATCAGTTATCGAACGAATCGAGTGCATCTAATCGAATTCGCTATTTCTAAAATCTTTTCTGTCCGTCTTTTTTCTGCTTCTAAGACTGAAATGCTGCCAAAGTAAGAAAAATATGCAGAATATAAGGACTTCAATAGTACAATAATGCAGAATTTACTATAAAAGAAAACTGGATATCAATCATGAAACTTTATCCCTAGGATTTCAGTAAACGAGAATGGATTGAAATGGATTCAGATTTTCAGAAATATGGATTCACGAATGTTAAAATGAATGCTTTTCAATCCTGAATATATTTTTATTAATTTATAGGAATTGCATGGAGCATATCTCTATGCTTTTCAATCTAAAAATAATATCAGCTTTTTCTGTGCATTGTGAATACTGTTCAATTCAAAATTTTGAATAGGAAATGCAGTTTTTCAATCCAATTTCATCCAATTGAATCTAATCGAATCCAATTGAATCCAATTAAATCCAAAAAAGTATTCCCTATTTAAAATACGCATTCGGATAGAAAAAATTTCAATCCATTTTAATCTATTCTCGTTTACTGGGATGGAAAGTGAAAAGTGAAAATTTTTACCATTGAAGTTAATGGAGAAATTTTTTACTTTTCACTTTTCATCCGAGGGACAAAAGTTTCATGATTGATACCCTGAGCGCAGTATATAATAATATTGTAAGAAATAAACAACACGAGAAAAATATCAGGGCGCTTTGAGATTCGAACCGAGGCCTACAATGGAATTCTGTAACTCGTTATGCAATAGTTATGTGTTCATAACGACAGTTGCGCAGATTTTTGTATAGTAAAAAAAGCTGCGCAACTATCGTTATGAACTCATAACAACTGCATAACGAGTTACAGAATACAGTGGTGGTCTCCTCCGAAATGGTAGACTTCCGTCCTGCCACTAAGCCACACAGCCCTGACGCTGATAGCTTCTCTGTTGTGCCTTTTATTTCCTTTAAATTTTCTTACAATATATTCCCACGAATCTGACCACGATATCAAGTACTACCATCAAATTTACGATTGCTAATTCTAACATTCAACATGTGCAATATGTGCATTAAAACAATTTGGAAACGTAAAATTATTTTTATTTCATGCAAATTATAAATTCTTATAAAATCTTGGAAAAATAATGGCTCGGAAAAATATCGGTAATTTACCAAAATCTTCTCATCCTTTCTGATGTAATATACCACCTTCGGAACTCTACTCGAAATAGTTCGAGAAAAATGTAAAAATTATGTATTATAAAATCGATCTTAAAAGTTTACTGACAATGACGCATTAGATGTATAAAAAATCAAATTTTAAATATTGAATCATGGATATTAAATTGTAAATATAATATATAGATAAAATTCTAATAATTGAATTGTAAGTAAAAATCTAAAATTGTAAATAAGAGATATGTAAAAATTCAAATGTAAAGATAATAATTAGTAAAAATAGTTATATGAATATTCTTATCATAAAAAGTTTTTTCGATCTTAATTATTATACTTCATTATACCTGCAACAACTTCTTGATTGTTGAACGATGAATTTTCTTGAGTGGGGTTTCCTTTACTAATAGCTCTCAGCCTGAAATAAAATAAATTTTCATCTCGAATCTCTCGTGACCAGATTCCAGTTTTATTCATCTTGAAACGTTCCAAAGTCTTTGGAAAAGTGTTTCTTCTCTATGAACTGTATACAAGATCTTTTGTCTTTTGCTTCTTCATTTTTCATAGATTGATTCATATTCGAACACTTTTGTTCGAATGGAGAAGCTTTGAATAATCCACAGCATCTGATAAAAAGGGGTATAACCCGCAAGCCTTGAATCTGTTTTCAAGTATTCTTTTTTTCGACTCTGTCGAGCATACTGATAGCTTCATTGAGAAGAAGAGCAAAACTCTCTTTGTCCACTGACACTCCGTCCATGTTCCATTCTCCATGTTGCGACAATTTTATTCCAATTCAATTTTAATTCGAAAAAGGGTAACGTTTATTGGCTGTAGAAGATATGTTGCATTTGGATATAAAGTGATTAATTCAATTTATGCTGGACACAAAAATCACTGAGAGCGAGTGTCAAGTAAGAACGGTGACCATCGATAAATAGAATTATAGGAAACTTCAAATGATTATCAAGACACCATTTGTAAAAAACACTTGTTACGTATTCGTAAAGACTCTCTTGGGTCATCCACCCACTTTTCGAGTGTCCAAGAGACCACCCTGCTGGTGCTGCTGCAGCTATAGGACCAGGTATACGTTCGTAAGCGTAGAAGATCATGGGAGGAGCCAGTTGTCCATCTGCATTGCCAGTGATACAGAAGAACCGTGAGACATTCTTTTTCATTTGTTGTGATCCGAATATAAGCTGTTTTCCGATTTTTCGATGCCAGCACTTTTTTAGATTTTGGATTTAGTAAGAAAGCCGATTCATCACAGTTGAAAATCCTCGAACCACTGATATTTAACAAATTTTTAGATTCTAAATACCACCCTTATGTCTTGAAACTAATTACGGATATATGTGTATATATGTGTATGTGTATATACATAACTTATATATTCAGTTTTATACAATTTTTTTAATATTAATCAGGAAAATAAGATCTTATAAAAATAATAAAATAGGTAAACTGCAAGATAAGTTGCGTGTTACTTGACTGATCGAAAATTGGGTATGTACGAGAAAATCGGAACCTAAAAGTAATTACCCATCTTTTTCGAGTTAAACATTGCAAAATATTTTTTTTTTTCACGACATATCTATTAATAAACTTTTCCCTGAACGAAATATATATTATTATTCGTTTCGTTAAACACGTGCAAATAACCAAGCTGATGGAACACGGGACGTTGCTTACGCCCGACCGTAACAGATGACCGCACAGACGTCTCTTGTCCAAACGTTTATCTTGGCGAATTTATTGTCATAAAAATGCGCTCAATTGGAACTTTCATATTTACACTTAGTAATTCTCTATGTTTTTATTATAAATATTTTTTGCAATGAATATTTGTGACAGCAAATGCAATAAAATAATTTATTCACCAAACTGATCAGAAATTAGGGACTGATCAGAAATTAGTGCCTTGATTAGTGCCTATAACAGTTCAAAAGCGAATTCTCTTTATCATTGCGTCGTCTCGATAGATAATTTTATTGATCTCTTTATTTTATTTATTTATTTATAACTCATGGGACTACAAGAACTTTCGCAGTATAAAATGAAACAAGTATCAAATACCTACAGAATGCCATTTCTCGATAGGTATTGCCTTAATGATACATTCCACAATGTATTTTACGTGATGCGGGTGGCGCGTCTAATTTTCGTGTATGCTTTCCTTATCGTGTTTCCCGTTAATAATCCGTAACGCTTATCTGTCAGGACTTGTGCTATACGGTACGTTTATATATCACAAGGTCTACGTTTCCCGTTTAGGCGTGCTATCGCGGATCTCATATCCGACTTCCGTCCCGTCTTATAGAAATCTAAGCCCATGCTTGCGTTATACGTGGGAAACTTTCGTATTTGATATACGAAAGCAGCATACAGGCGTTGCATTCTCGTGATATATCCCGTGCTCTTGTCGTTTCACGCCTCTGCTCTGCAGACGAGGCGCGAGCGGCCCCTCGCCTTAAGAGCATCTCGACGAGTGTTTCTCTTGTTGCTGCGTAAAAAAGAAAGAAAGGAAGATAATGATTTCCCCTTTGTATCGACAAACGGATCCGTGATTGAATTGGTGAGCGCAGAAGTGGCGTGAGTCATAGGAATGCTTATAGGAAATAAAGAAATCGCCTTTCTCTATTTAATGCAAGTTGTTTCTGCACTTGTCGTATCCAATGCGTCGCGCAGTATGAGAATATCGAGCTGACTGATGCTGTTGCACCTTCTCGCATGCTCATAAACCTGCTGCAAATGCTATTCCGAATTCAGCGTTATATTTTATCTCTTATTCTATTTTCTGCTAAGCATGCAAGAAAGATTATGAGAATAATGACATATATCTTTGAAAATTATACACGGAGTGTGCATGGACGATAGAAGATGCCCCATTTTTTCTGCTGAGATTTAAGCCCGGATAATTTTTCATTATCTGGTTA